TAGTAATATTAGAATATTTTAATTTGTTTTCGTTTCTTGATTTAAATTTTTTTTGTGATTTATTATTATTAGAAAGTTTGCAAAAAAGCCTCTTCTGTGTATTTTTTTTTTTGTAATTGACTAATTTTACCTCAGTGTCTATCATTGCACAATCTGTGATATGCTTTTTTTCCCCTGTATTTTAGCAGCATGTTCATTGTGCATTGTTATATTATTAGAATATTTGAATATTACATATTATTCTAATATACATATTAGAATATTTGATTTTTTTCATTTCTTGATTTTAATTTTTTTTATCTTTAATTAATAGTAATTATAATAATTTATAATAGTAATAATAATAGTTTGCAAAAAGGCTTCTGTGTAATGAAATATGTAGCATTTTTTCAAAATTATTTTTATTTTTTTGTAGTTAACTAATATTACCTCAGTGCACAATCAGTGATACTTTTTTGTATTTTAGCAGCATGTTCATTGTGTATTGTTATATTATTAGAATATTTGAAAGTTTTTATTTTTTAAATGTATTATTTTTTATAAAGTCTGCAAAAAATTAACTAATTAAATATTTAGGATTTTTTCATATATATATATTTTTTTTTTTTGTAGTTGACTGATATTACCTCAGTGTCTATCATTGCACAATCTGTGATGTTTTTTTCTGTAATTTATGTCTTAAGTTTTATTGTAGTGGTAGTTGTAGTGAATTTAAAAAAAAATGTTTCATAAACAATCTCCCAAGAAATAAAATGTAAAATATATAATTTATTTCAGACGTTTGAAAACAAACTCATGAATCTGTGAATATTCTTGTCTGCTTCTGAGAATAAATCTTGGCTTTTGAAAAATTTTAATGAAACGTTATGAAACCGTTAAACGGCCTGAACATATATCTTCATAATATCAGACTTTATACAGTAGAAATCAATTAAAATATTCAATGTATATGTCCATAAATCTATATTCATATATGAATGTGCCTGTTTGAGTGTGAGTTCAGATGGTTTTGAGTTTGCCGTTTAGTGCTGAATTTTTTATTTTCTTTTTCATATTTGTATTTTTCCTATTCTAATTGATTTAAAGAAGCTCTTTCTGTGGAATCAATTTTTGTTGTTGTTAATTTAGTTTGTTTATATTGTTTTTTATTTCAGAACTGTCTTTAAATCTGTCGAGAAATAAAATACCTTTAAAACAAACTAACAAATGTATATTCATGTATAATCTTGTGTCAGAAAGCAAAAGGCAAACAGAGAAAACTGAATTTGAAGAATTTTAATGAAATGTTATGAAACGGTAAAACAGCCTGAACAAATATCTGCAAAACGTCAGAATGACTTTATACAGTAGAAATCAATTCAAACATGTCCATAAATCTATATTCATAAATAAAGTTACATCAGCAGTACTGGAAACATGAACAAAAACAGAACTTCATGCAAACGATAAACACCAGCAAGCAAAAACATGCTGAAGAATCTCATGTAAATATAAGCGTGCATATCAGCAATCCGTACAGAGAATAAATTAAACATTTCATCAGGCAGAAGCAAGTCTTCATTCTTAAATATATTTTCACCAGCTCTTTATATTGTACAGTATTTACAGACTAATGCATAAAGGTCTGAATCGAGACTCAGGCAGGACTGCTGCAGTAATTTAGTTAAAAACACCTCAAGGCACATTCAAAATATCCATAAAACAGACTCAAGAAAATCCTCCTCCTGTCTAATGATGCCTAGTGACGCGTTTTTATCTCGGGATTATGGAGGATTATTTATGCCACAATAAAAAATTGTAATTGCTAATATTTATCCCACAATTCAGAATTATTTACATTTAATGACTTTTGTGTGAGATATATCGTGACATAAACTCGCAACGGTCAGAGAATGACTGAATTGTGAGATAATTTGTTTATATCTTTATTCTGTGGCAGAAACAAGCTTCTACAGAAACCCTGGACCGCACAACGTGAAAAACAAAAACTCTGAATCTTGGATCTACGGAAGAGGATTAGGTCCAAGCCATAATAAAAAACGTAAAACCATCTCGGGATTAAAGTCATTATAATGTGAGATTAAACTCGTTACATTTCAAGAAGAAAGTCTGTTTCATGAAAAACTTGTTAAACTTCGAGAAAAAGTCCAAATAAAATGTTGAGAATAAACTAAATTACAAGAAAAAAAAGTTTCATGAAAAACGTATTAAATTTCGAGAAAAAGTCAAAATAAAATGTTGAGAATAAACTCATTAAATTACAAGAAAAAAAGTGTTTCATGAAAAACTTGTTAAATTTCAAGAAAAAGTCCAAATAAAATGTTGAGAATAAACTAAATTACAAGAAAAAAAGTGTTTCATGAAAAACTTGTTAAATTTCAAGAAAAAGTCGAAAATGTTGAGAATAAACTCATTACATTACAAGAAAAAAAGTGTTTCATGAAAAACTTGTTAAATTTCGAGAAAGTCAAAATAAAATGTTGAGAATAAACTCATTAAATTACAAGAAAAAAGTCTGTTTCAAGAAAAACTTGTTAAATTTCGAGAAAGTCAAAATAAAATGTTGAGAATAAACTAAATTACAAGAAAAAAAGTTTTTCATGAAAAACTTGTTAAATTTCAAGAAAAAAAATAAAATGTTGAGAATAAACTAAATTACAAGAAAAAAAGTTTTTCATGAAAAACTTGTTAAATTTCAAGAAAAAGTCGAAATAAAATGTTGAGAATAAACTCATTAAATTACAAGAAAAAAAGTCTGTTTCAAGAAAAACTTGTTAAACTTTGAGAAAAAAGTTGTTTTGAGAAAAACTCATTAAACCGAGAAAAAGTCAAAATAAAATGTTGAGAATAAACTAATTTGTGTCATGTTCATTTGAACGTTTTAATCCGTGTCTGCAGAGACGTTGATCCTAAAGAGTTCGAGTCTGTTTTTATGAAGTAACTGGCTATTACTTGATTGAAACGAATCAAAAATAGCAATAGATGATATTTACACCAAGTGAAAACAGTGATATATTCTATTTACACTTAGTGACAACAGCAGCATTTTTAGCGATGTGCTATTTACAGTAAATGAAAATAGCGATTCTATTTACAGTAAAAGCAGCAGATCTTTGAATTAAGTCTAAATAGTAATTAGATGCTATTTATACATATAGTGACAGATACTATTTGCACCTCAGTATTGTTGTACATTAACAGGATGCAATAATAATATAGTGTGTAAATGATTTTATTTATTAAAATGATTAAATAGAAGCTGCCTTATTGGTACAACAAAGCCCTCCCTATAGCCTACCTACCCAATTAATACATCATTATTAAACGCTCGTTAGGCCATTGATTTCCACTTTTCCGATGTGATATGTGATGAAAAAAGGAAGAAGAGCGAGTTCAGCAAAAGGGGGATTCGAACACCAGTGTGTTTATTCTCAGCATTTTATTTACTTTTTTCTCGAAATTTAAAGATTTTTTTTTCGCGAAACACGAGTTTATTCTCAACGTTTTATTTCAGCTTTTTTACTCGAAATTTAACAAGTTTTTTCATGAAACACAACGAGTTTCTCAAATTTTTATGATTTTATTCTCAACATTTTATTTTGACATTTTTCTTAAAATTTGAGTTTAATCTCGCATTATATTGACTTTAACATTGATGGTTTTATTTTTATTATTGTTTGGCCCAAATCCTCTTCTGTACAAAAACATTATTTAGAGAGATAATTTTTTTTGAGAGAGAGAAAAAACAATTTTGGAGATTTTTTTTTGGAGAGAGAAAAAAGTTTTTTGAGACGACAAAAAAAAAGATAATATATAAAAAAGTGAGAAAAGAAAAAAGGTTTTAGTCTTTAATCTCAGGTATTTTTGTTCAGGTTGTGTTTCAGGACTTCTGCAGGTTTGTTTCAGAAATGAAATCATGTTTGTTTCTCTGAAAGCGTCAAGAAAGCGAGCTTCATCAGCAGAAACTGCTGTTGTTACACAGATAAACTATGCGACTGGATTTACACAAACACACACAACTTCAAGAAGAGATTTCTATCACACTAGTTTCATGTGAACTCTAAAATTCAGAAGATTTTGACTTGTCTTTACAAAATGACGAATCAAAATGATTTTCTGTGACAGATGCTGCTGAAAGAGCTCAACATTTCATTTATATGCTGGACTGATATTATATTCATTATATTTAATGAAGATAAACAGTAATAATATTTAACAAACCATTGGACTAGATTCGCAATCGTGTGTTCGTCACTAGGCAACGTTACGTTTCCGCTGTGTGTTTCCATGGCAACTACAATTTAAGACTTTGGATACGGCCACGGTGTTCGTTCATTCATTGTCATTTATAAAATATATCTCCAAGACATCAATAAATAACTTCATATTAACACAATCAGCTGTGTGTTTCTGATCATACAGTATATGTGAGAGTAGATGCTGTTAACATTTATATAGAGATCCATTAACACAGAAAAACATTCAGGAAAGCTGAACGTCAACGGTAGTGTTGTAGCAACGACTGGAAAGAAGAAGTCAAAGAGAAACCTCTGTGTGTGTGTGTGTGTGTGTCTGCTTTCTCTCTGAATCAGTGAAATCCCAAGTGTGTGACGAGAGTGATGAGCGGACGACTGTAAACACGGCTGTATGAGTGTGTATATGTATGTGTGTGTGTGTGTGTGTGAGTGTGTGCGTGTGTGTGTGAGTGTGTGTGTGTGTG